GGACGACCGTAGCTTCGGGTCCCCTCTACTGCCGCCTCCGAGAGCTCAGGCAGGTCCCTGCCCTTCTCTGCTTCCCTTTCATCTCTGTGTGGAGCCACGGCAGAGAGAAGCACCCTCAACAGTCCCTCTCAGTTACAGGAGGTGGACTGCGGGCTGCGCTGAGAAGGGCTCCCGGCAGGCCCTGGTCCCAGGAGGGAGGGCGGTGGTGGGACCCGGAGGGAGCGGGGCCAGATCGGGGCGGCGCCCGCCCTGCGCTGTCCCAGGGCAGACAGCGCGCCATCGTCACCGGCCCCCTCTTGTTTCGGGGCTGAGGGATCCGCGGCCTGGGGAAGCTACGTTCCCGGGCACACAGCCACGGGCAGAGCTTGCTGTCAGGCTGGAGTGACGGTGGACGTGGGGCTCCATCGTCCAGAAGACGGAGGCTGGGTCACTGAGCTGGCAGGTCTTGGCTCTCCGCCCCTCACTCCAAGCGGAGGCCCCTGCAGGAGCCCCGGTGGCGGCAAGAGGGAGTGACTTTGTCCGGGACAGGGCAGGGAGGGCTGGTGCGCCCGTAGCCGCCAGGCTCTGTTGCATCAGCCTCCCCAGCCCCGCCCGCCGCTGCCCGGCTGGGAGGACTGCGTAGGGAGCGATGCCGTGCGGCCCCCGCGGCCCCGAAACGTAAACAGCCAGGTCAGATGGGGCCCTCTCCGCCTCAGCCCTGCTCCGCAGGCTCGGAAGGATATGTCCACCGTTCTTTAGATCCGGAACTTTCTTTTTCACACACGTTGCCTGTTCTGCATAAGAGGTTTCTCTTATTCATCGCTTGACACTCACAAGCCTGGGCACAGGCTGGGAACACAGAAAAGCCACTTCTGTGACTGGTTTACATCCCTCGTAGTGAGGAGTTGGGGCCCCAGAGACACCAGCTGGTGTCAGAGCCGAGGGAGAGCCCCTCGCATCCTGACTGATAGGAGCATGGAGTCTTGCTTGTCCCTCGTCTCAGGGAGCAGGCTCCTCCTGGAGATGGCCGGGGGCTCTGCACACTTCCTCTGACCCATGGTTGGTCTGGGGCCCCCCGCCCCCTCCCTCTACCCAAGTCTCTCTTAGACCCCCTCCCTGCCGACTCAGCCCCAGCCGAGAAGAGCTATAAATCAGCCTTCCTTCTAGGGCGATTAAAAAAAAATCACTCTATTAACAGTTGACTCACGGTCTAAAAATGTGCTGTGGCATAGCTGTGGCCACCGCGCCTGGTTTGGTGGGACCAGCCCCGAGCCTCACTCGGCCGGGCCCCTCCGGGCGGGACTGCCGTTTCCACGTGCACACCGCCGCCAGGGCCTTCCTGCCCACCCCCCACCCGTGCTGCTCCTTCTCCAACTTCAGCCCCGGGGTTTGGCCAGAGACCCCGGTAGAGGGGATGGAGGGAGGAAGCCATCTGGAGCTGAATCCGTGTTCAGACGAGAAAGGAAATTGCCCTGAGATGATTGAAATGGAAAGAAGGGGGGACACCTGGACGGCCGAGTTAAGTAGCTGGAGGCCCGGGGGGGGGCTGGGGTCTGTGCCCAGCAGGGCTCTGGGACCCCGCCTGGCCCGGCCACGCAGTCCTGGCGGACAGGGCTTGGGTGGGCCTCCCTGAGAGCAGTGGGCCGGGCAGCATGGGCAGGAGCCCCGGAGACGAGGAGTGGCCTCAAGGAGATGTGACCCGGGCATTCTCCCATGTGACCTGAGACAATCCACACTGCCTTGGAGGGACCACCAGCCGCACGCTGGGCACCACTCCCAGCCTCTCAAGCACCGTCTCTCGGGGATCCTCTGGGTGCTGTCTGTCCCATTAGCAGATGAGGCAGCTGAGGGTCTGCTCCCGCCCGTGCCCGCACCCCTGCAGGCAAGCCTGCCTGGACCACGGCTTCCCTGGGGCAGGGCCGACCGGCCGCGCCTCAGGCGCTTGGTCAGCATTTGGAAGGATAAACGCTGAGCTTAAGAAGCTTCACATGTTAGACTCTGATTTTACTGAGGCCCCGACCAAGCACATCTCTCTGCGGCCGAGCCAGCCTGCAGTGTCTTCCTTTCAGGCAACTGGAAGTGACTGGTCAGGGGTGGGGAATGACGGGCACTGCCATCAAGCCGGGTGGGTCGACTTGGCAGGGACGACGGCTGCCCTGGCTGTGCTCAGCGACCGGGCCTTCAGCGGCTGTCCTGGAGCCTGGACAGTGTCGGGGTTAGGGACACAGGTCCCCCCAACACCTCCTCCTGGTTCTTAAGTGACGTCGCTGCTGCTCAGAAGCACAGGCAGCTGCTGTCCGACCCGGAGCAGCAGGAGCAGGGGCGCTGCCCTGAGGGCACCGCCATGGCCTGTGGGAGGAGCGCCGCCCCAGCCACGGCTCTCGTCACCAGACCTGCACACAATGGATGTTTCTGGAATGCCTACGGCCTGCCAGGCGTGGTGCCGGCCGGCGGACCTGGCAAGTGGGGACCAGGCTCCACGCTGGGTTGAGAGAGAGCGCAGAGGCAGGCCCCCGCCCCGCGGTGCCCCTGGGTTCTCAGGCGGCTCTTAGCGAGCTCCCCTGGGAGCCGGGCCATGACAGTGAAGATGGCACTCCTGGCCCGCAGGACTTGGCAGGCACACAGAGGGGCCGCGTCCGTGTGAGCTTTTCCTTCGGCCCCCGGTGCCCCCAGAACCAGCTCAGCCAGGTGCATGGTCAGAGCCTTCAGGGAATTTCCCACACATCCCTGGAAGTTTCTAGGTCCCTCTGTCGCCACCAAAAAAAAGCACGTTGCAAATGCACCTGGTGACAATGGTGACACCTCTCTTCGCATGCCTCTGATGAGATCTCGTGCTGAGAATGTCTCTGTCTCCTTACACTTTCTTGCTGAAAGCCGCTGCAGGCAGAGGAGAGTCGGGGGGTTGGCAGGTGGGGAGGGGCATTTTATTTCCCTACAAACAGACAGAGTGCTCCAGCCGCAGAGGGGCACCAACCCACCTGGGGGGCTCGGATGGTGGTGGATCTTGAGGGAGACACAGAGTGCGCTGGGCCCCGCAGGCCTGAGGGGGAGAGCCAGGTGTGGGAAGGTGGAGCGGGCACTGCAGGTGGCCAGGTGAGCAGATGCACTGGGGGTGGAAGGGGTTCGGGGGGCTCGAGACAGATGTGCAAGTTGGGAGATGAGAGTTTAGGGTCTCAGGATGCAAAACGAGGTGTAAGGACTGAAGAGGGTAGCCCAGAGGAGGTGGGGAGCTGCGGCAGTGGATGGTGGGGGTCTCAGACCTCGCCCTCAGAGAGACCTGGGTTTGAACCTGCCTTACTGTTACGTGGTCCCTGGGGTTCAGTTCTCACCTGAGACGGGGCAGACTCCTCCTCCTCGGCCTGGGGGTGGGGGCGGGTTGGGTGGCAGCAGTTCAGGTGTTACAGGGTCCTGTCCATGTGGACCCCAGGGGTCTGCTTTGGGGAGCTGTCTGTGAGCAAGGAGCACGGCCCTGGCAGAGCCCTGGACTGAGCATGGATCAGGAACCAGCAGACAGACTCTGGAGGCGCCCAGGTGGTCACCTGGTAGGTTACAGGTGAGCCCGTCTCCGTTCGTGGCAGGGCAGACATCATGGATCCATCCCAGCTCATTCCTGCCCAATCGAGGCTGACCTTGCTCTGTTCTCCTGTCAGCCTCGTGGAGCCACCCCAAGGGCACACACGGTGGCATCCACTGGCCGTCCTGGCTGTGGGCTCAGCTGGGACGGGCTGAGCAGAGAGCAGGCACACATGCTGTGTGACCTTCGTCTTCTGAGGACAAGCTGTGGAATTGTGTGCTTGGGGCAGGGATCAGAAGAGGCCTGGGACCAGGGCATCTGGAGAGCAGACGTGAAGGCAGAGCTCATTCGCATGCTGGGCTGGCGGCTCCCACGAGGCCCCAGGAGCTGGCCCAGGCTGGGGTGGGGCTCAGGGTGGGGCTCCAGTTACCCAGAGGAGCTCGGAGGGTTGGTGTCCCCAGGTGGTGAGCCCCCCATGGGGAGGGTGTCTAGCAGCTGCAAGGGCTCCTGCACAGTCAGGGGGCCCTCAGATGCTCTGAGGACAAGAAAACCAGGCCCTCAGGACGGCGCCGGACGTGCATTTAGGTGGAGAGGAGGACTCAGGGCTGAGTCCATGCCATTCACCATGCTGTGTGGTCTTGGGCAGGTTGCTTGCCTTCTCTGGGCCAATGCTCCTCTGGGATGAATCTGCCATGTCCCTTGGTGATCGCTGTCACATGCACGCTGCTCTCTAGGCTAACATTGTTAAAACCGCACAGAGGAAGGGACGGCCGGGGGCGGGGATGTGGCGTCCGGAGGTGGAAATGGGCTGGAAGACATCGAAGAGGACGGTTGAAATCTCGGGAACTTCCTCTCTCAGTCATAGCCCTGGTCAGGGTGGGGAGGGCTTTCCAAAGCCTTTGATAAATCACTTACCACGTCCTG